TGGATGCTGCTGTTGTATGTAAAATGTTAGGATATGTTCGTGCTATTGCTGCTCCTACTGGTAACATATACTCTGGTAACTTTACTGGAAAGGTAAAATTATTTCCTGATGCATATGCATGTCCTTATGTTGTGAAGAAACTTAGAAATTTTAAGCTTATTCAGATCAATATTGGATTTTTTTACAAATATTTCAAATACAAAAAATTAGGCCAAGTTAATTTTATGTATTCCTATCAAATTTGAATGTTTTTACGAATCTCAAAAATTGTGGCCAACTCCCTGTTTTTTTTGGCCATATTTTGCCAAAAATGAAAAGTAAAGAATTCCTCATTTTTATAACTTTTTCTGATACACATACATGTTCTTATGTTCTATAGAAAGTTTTAGCTGATCCCAATGAAATTTGGATATTTTACAAATTTTTAAAGCTGCTCAAAAATTGAGCCAAAGTCCCTGTACTATTATAGTGCAGGGTAAACATTCACTAATCACCTACATGTAAACCTCCACCCAGTTCTGCAGTTCAATTGTTTCACTTTATTTGTAGATTTGGTTATCTAATGTTCATTGCAATGGATCTGAGTCTAGCATATTTGATTGTCATTATGCGCCTTTGGGAAACAACAATTGTACTTCAGCTAATGATGCCAGTGTCATTTGTACTAGTACGTTACATATTCAATTTATATTATTATTAATAGACAATGTAACTTTGTATGTACACGTATAAATTAAGGCTTCAACAACTACTTTAAATTGAAGATAATCAAGTAATTCATTAGCCACACAGGCCAAAAAGCGATTAATCAATTTGTTGTTGTGCCTTAGTATAAATGTGTATACATACATGTACATGTATATTCTGTGATATTATCACCCTCTCTCTCTCACTAGATATTCCTATTAATCCGTATCCTGTTAGACTATCTGATGGTATTAATGATCACTCCGGTCGTGTGGAGATATTTTATAACAACGAGTGGGGGACCGTCTGTGATAATCATTGGACTATGAATGAAGCTAATGTCGTATGTAGAGAACTAGGATTCCCTGGTAAGAATTAATAGTAATTTATTCTATTTTTTACATATGTCACAATTTTTCTACTATTATAATTTGCAGGCTGCAATTTTAAACAAAATTTTTAATTTTTATTATTTCAAAGAATAGAGAGAGAGAGAGAGAGAGAGAGAGAGAGAGAGAGAGAGAGAGAGAGAGAGAGCTAATAGCTTTAATAGATAACAAGGCTTGTCTGATGTATCACAACATTTTTAAAAAAATCCCAGCTGGTATATTTCAATTGCATTCCTTTCTTAATGACTACAGGTGCTCAAGATGGCGGTGCTCTTGGTGGCTCTGTCAGTACTGCAGGTAACGGTCATATTTGGTTAAGCAACATAAACTGTCAAGGAAATGAGTACTTCTTACATCAGTGCAGCCATGATCCTTATGGCAGTAACAGCTGCCAACATGTGAATGATGCTAGAGTGATATGTAAAGGTATG